GCGGCTGCCGGGGTTGGGGAGCCTGGCTGCGCGGCAGAGGCGGGCGGGAGGCGGGCCAGCGCCCGGTGGTTCTGGGTCTGCCCCCGCCAGGCTCAGCGGGGGTGGGCGCCGTCGCCCCGCCTCGCCGAGCAGCGGCGGCTGCGGGGCTCCGGGAGTGGTTGATTTATTAAGCTAATGTTCTAGCACATTTTCCCCATCCCGTAATGAGCTGTTTCCACCAGGGGATGTCTGCAGAGCGACTGCGGGCTTCCGGCGGCTCCAGGAGGGAGGCAGGGGCGGCGGGCGGCCTGTGGGGGGCTGGGGGATGTCTGGCTTCCCTGGGAGGGTGGGATTGCAAAGTCTGCACCGAAAACTCACGCCCTACTGGGGGGTCTGGGAGAAGAGGTGGAAGGCCAGTCCTGTTTCTGCAGCCTGAAAGAGAAGCCCACTTTCTTCTCCCCGTGCCATTCAGGCCCACCTTCGCATCAATCCCAAGGGACTTGAGAGAGAGCCCAGACCATTCTGGCCTAGTTCTCTAAGTCTTCCTGCTTTTCCTTAAACTTGTGAAGCGGCTGAGCTCAGCCTGCCTGGTGTCAGTGTGTTCTAGCCATTTCTGTGGCTGGATGTGAATTAGAACCTTTGTGTTCAGATCTGTGTTCAAATCCCAGTCTAGCCATCTTTTAACTCTGTTATGTCTGGGCTCTCGGGGCCTCAGCTTTCCTTTTTAAACTAAGGGATAGGAAGTATTTTCCAGGGTTGTTAGGGTCCGTGGTGACACGTGTAGAGCTCTATATAGAATTTTGTTGTTGTTATTGTTATGTGACTTTAAGTCACCTGCGACTCATAGCGACCCTATGTACAACAGCCCTAAACCCTGCTCTTTCCTGTGCCAATCTTACTTTCTCAGATACCCCTACACTCATTACCCCAGCCACTGAACCAGTCCATCTCATCGAGAGTCTTTCTCTCCTGCGCTATCCCTCTACCCTCCCTCTCCAAGGATTGGTCCCTCCTTACAACATGTCCATAGTATGTCAGACAAAGCTTCAGAATCCTTGCCTCTGAGGAGCAGCCAGATTTCACACTCTATAGGATGAACCTCTTTGTTCTCCTAGCAGTCCATGGTATATTCAATACTCTTCTCCAACACCACAGCTCAAAGGCATCAATTCTCCTTCTATCGTCCCTAGTCATTGTCCAGCTCTTTGATGTATAGCAAGTGATTGTAAAGACCTTGGTCTTTATCAGGCGCACCTTAGTCTCCGGATTGATATCATTGCTCTTCAGTACTCTGAAGAAGTCTCTGACAGCAGACTTTTCCAACTTAGTATGTCTTTTAATTTCCTGGCTGCCGGTGCCAAGTGTTGATTGTGGAGCCAAGCAAACTAAAGCTCTTTACTATCTCAGTCTCTTTACCATCTATCATGATGCTGTCAATCGGTCCAGTGGTAAGAATCTTTGTTTTCTTGATTTTTAGCCTCAATCAATATTGAAGGCTACAGTCCTTGACCTTCTGCAGCAAGTGCTTCAGGTCCTCCTCAGTTTCAGCAAGCAGGAGTTGTGTCATCTGCATAACGCAGATTGTTGATGAGTCTACCTCCAATCCTGATGCCACATTTCTCCTCATAGAACCCAGACTTCCGGATAATCTGTTCTGCATATAGGTTGAACAGCTGTGGAGATAGGACACATCCCTGGTGTACACTCTTCCCAATTTTGAACAATACAGTGTTCTCTTGCTCTGTTCTGATGACTGCCTCCTTGTCCAACTGTAGTTTTTGCAGAAGCACAATCATGTGTTCTGGATTCCCATTCTTCTCAGAGTCAGCTACAGTTTGTTGTTCATATAGAACAATGAACACTATAATGGCTGTCAGCCTGCTGACAATGGGGCCACACCACAGCACTGCAAGGCTCTATGACACTGTGGTCCTGGGATGGGCCTCCTGCTCTAGCTGACCTAGCATTTCCTGTTGACAAGCCTCCAAGTATTACCATTCAGTTATGCAACTCTGCTTTTCTCACATGGGGCAGTGACAGTACTTGGTATTGTAGCTTTAAAAATACCTACCTTATCTCTCCTTGCCACTAGAGCCTGAACTTTGTGCTGGACTGTCTCACCTGCTGGGCAACAAAATAGTTCCCAGTGCTTTTTTAGTCTTTATTGGTTTTTTTTTTTTTTAGCACTTACGAAAATAAAGAAAGTTCTCAATAAGGCATAGCAATCACTGTTCTTTATAAAAAGATGCTGCTTCTCTAAGCCCATCCCATGAGGGGAAGCTAAGACAGCTAATAGGGGTCTCCTAAGATTGATGGCCTTCCCCAGGAGTTATTATCCTATTTTACGGAGCAGAAAGGTTGTGTAACTTGCCGGTCACCCAAGGCCCCTTAAATGACTGAGCAAAGATTGGCACTTAGTCTGCCTGACTCCCTAACTTGTACTCTTTCCTCTCTTCAGAGATCACTGGGTGAGCATCCTGGAATTGAGCAGATCTTGAGTATAGAAAGGCAAGTTCTCTTAGCTTCTTTCTTGAAGAGGGTGAGCTAGTCTTGAACTCTGGGTGAATATGGAAGTTTGTGCTATCTTTTTAGATAGGAAAGAGTTTGGGTAGGAGAGTGAGATAGGTACCTGCTACTCTTGTCTTAGTTTTGGTTCCTCGTGGTTTTCATAATCTGTCTAAATTTCCTCATGAAACTCAAGCCACACACACAAAAATTCACAAGCAAGAGTGAGCTGGAGATTTAAAGAAATGGATGTGACCAAAGACTTAAAAAAAAAAAATTCACATTTGATTTCTCTGTCCTGCCTTGCACAGCTGAGCTGTTTCTGCCCCTTCCTGCCCTTCTCACATATTGTTCCCTGCCTTGCTGGTCCCTTGCTGGTCCTCTTCCTCACCTAGCCAGCCTTTGCACATGCTTTGCCCTCTTTGAGGACTCTTCGTTCAGGCCTCTGCATGGTTGATGCGTTGGAACATTTAGTCCACAGTCTAAGGTCACCGTCTCAGAGAGATCTTCCAGGTCCCTAGATCCAGAGGGCCCTCAGCCACCCCATTGCTCAATTTTGTTGTCTTTGTAACAGTCATCTACAAAGACCTTGTTTGGTCTCTGCTTCCCCTCCTAGAACAGAAACTCTGTGAGAAGAAGAGCTCTGGCTGCCTCATTTCAGGAACAATGTCTGGAACAAAGCAGCGAATATGTCTTTAAATGTCTTATCAGATTCAGCTCTGCTTCAGCTCATATTTAAATTGACCTCAGCTGGTCAATTGGGGCTTAAAGTCAACAGCCCTCAATTTCCCCACTATTGATAATACATATTGGTTGTTTGCTAGGTAAAGTGTATTCCGTTTATTAATTCTCTAATCCACACAACAACCTTCCGAGGTAAGGTACTAGTATTGTTATCATTTCTGCCTTGTTGTTGTTGTTGTTTAATGCCTTTGAGTCGTAGACGACTCATAGCGACCCTATGAACGAACAGCCTGAGCACTGTTCGTGCATAGAGTTTCCAGAGGCAAGCCATTTTGGAAGTGGATGCCGCTCCTGCTTCCAGGCTTGATTTAGTCGGGAAGCTCCAGCCAACACTGTCCACCATGGGTGCCCATTACCACGATTGGCACATCACTGTCACAGGCTTACAGATCTGCCTTACAGATGAGGAAATCCAAGTGAGAACTTAGTGGTCAGTACTACATGGCCATTCCATGGCAAACTTGAAATTGAAACCAAGACAACCGGTTCTCTGGAACTCCAGGTGTGGGCCGGCTTATTGAAGCAACTCCATGCTCTCACAGCCTTCTGGAAGGTGAACAAGCCTTTGGGTCTTGCACCCCTACATCCATACTCTACCCTCGATGTGTTTCAGAGCATTTCTTTCAGACTCATAGTGCTTGTTCAAAGTTGTATAAGTTTGGAAGAATACAACTTTTTTCTTTTTTTTTTTTTTAAATATACATTTAACAGGAGCCAGCTTAAGAAGAAGGAGCTATGTTATGCTGTTGTGCTTTGTGTGTGTGTGTGGGGGGTGTGTGTGTGTGTGTGTTTAACAGCAAATATGCTTTATTTAAAATGAGTGCTGTATCAGTGTGTTGTCAGCACCAAAGACAAGAGTAGGGCATTTGTGCATTCTACATTGGCCACTTGAGGGTATTCACAGCAGTTTGAAGGGCCTGCGGCCATTTCCGATTATTTCAGCACTCCCTGTTTTATCAAGAAGGAGCTACGTTTAAAGGTACAGGGAATCTCTTCTAGATTCCAGTAGAGCCGAGCCCAAGGGAAGGACAGGTGCAGCTGCAGAGCTGCCTGCTGTCACTGTCTCTTGACACCCTTATCTTTCTTTCAGTATGCATCTGTTCTCTTTGCAGCCCAAATTTCCTTGCATTTTCTGGACATATAGCATATAATAAACTGGAGCCCCAGTGGGACTGTGATTAAAGTGCTCTGTTGCTAACCAAAAGTTTGGTCTTGAACCGATCAGTCGATCTGCAGGAGAAAGATGAGGTGGTGTCCTCCATGCAGATTTCTAGCCTGGGAAAGCCCATGGGCAGTTCTGCTCTGTCATACAGATTCCCCCCGGGTCTGGAATTGACCCGCAGCAGTGGGTGAAGGTTTCTCTGGTGTTAAGTACAGAATAAGCCTCCTATAGCTCCTGAGCAAAACGAACTCCTCAGTTCCACACGCTGGCAATCCAGATCTTAGAGACAGCGAGTTGGCTGAGCTTGGACCACATGTGTCTACACCTGTGGAGGTGGTGGTGCAGCACAAACATGGCAATTATGGCCTTCATCTGCGAATAACTCAAACTCAATTTACTGCTGGTGAGTTAGAACTGACTCGTAGCTGATCCTCCAGGTTTTCTGAGGTTGTAAAACAAACAGGAGGAAATTACCCATCTATTTTCCTTGAAGACACTTGTGGTTTCCAACCGTCACAGCGGTGCAGCCTTTGAGTCAGCGGAGCAACTCTGTGGATGGGGCCACCAGGGCTCCCTCACTTGTACATACCTGGCCCTACAAGGACCTACCATGATCATGAAGAGCTTTGAACACCAAACTGAGGAACCCCGCAAGGTAATGAGAGTTTTAAGCCCAAGAGTAGCTGAGCCTGGTTCATGGGTTTGGTTTGGTTTTGTGTTGTTTTTTTGTTGTGGACCGTTGAATCAGATCTGACTGGCACAGGAGGAGATTGCACTGTCTTCTCCAGCACACCATCTGGTGGATTCAAACCATGCACCTTCAGGATTGCAGCACAGCTTCTTGCCACTAGGCCACCAGAGCTCCCTAACAACTGATTTATAGTTTTAAAGAATCTTTGGCCGCTACAGGATGGTGGTGGACTGGAGGGGTGGGCCATAGTGGACACAGGGAGAGCAAGGAGGAGGCCACCTTGCCTTCCACTCTAGGCCATTTTTATTTCTTCTCTCTTTGGCCAGTTCTATTAGGACTCATTTATTCATTTTGAGCACTAACTCCATGTCAGGCCGTGTGCCGGATGCTTTGTACTTGCTTTCGAAGCTCACTGTGGGAGAAATAGGACTTGGACAGCTCAATGACACTGGGGAAAGGGATGTGTGAAAAGAGAGGGTTGAAAGAGATGCTGTGTGAACTCCAAGGAAGTCAAGGTTGCATGGGGTGGACATGGTGGAGGAGACAGGATCTGGGTCCTATTGTACAGAACTAGCATTTGATGCAGGCCTGGAAGGACAGGGAGGCTTTCAACACATGGAGACCTGGATGAAGGGTTTCCAGGGGGTGGGGATGGCATGAGAGATGGGAAAATATAATCCATATTGAATTCTTTTAGTAAGGTGAGTGAAAGTGAGTGATAGGAGATGAAAATAGGGGAGGGCAGGTCCAGATTCTGGAACGTTCGGTATGATAAGTGGGAGCATGTGGACTTTACGCTATGACAATGGGGAACCATTGCTATTGACTCTTTTTGAGCAAGAGAGTCACTATTTCTCTTCAGGAGTTTGACAACATGGTTCCATAAGTGAAACCAGGGGGAAAATACCTAGACCTTCAGAGAAGCAGGGCCTGGGGAAGACTTGGGAGCCTGGACGTTTCCGCAGAAATGCCCATCACAGGGCCTATGAGAGCACAGGCGGGTGACTGACATGGACAGGAGACGTGTGTGCAGGCACAGGGTGGCTGTGGCATCTCCCACAGGCTGAAGGCCCCAGACACTGCTGATGCTGGAAGGTAATTAACAATGGCAATCACTCCTGTCATGACATCATTAAACTCTGATTGCACCGGCAGGGTGGCTGATGGATGGGCCCAGGAGTCACACACAGCTCCTCGGGAAGCCAGGATCATTTGTCAGCAGATGGAAGACCGGTAGTGGGGGTCTAGGTCTCCATGCCTGATTGCGCTGGTGAGCCCCGAGGTTCTGCCCCATCTCTGGGTCAGGGCAGGTTAGGTGAGGCTGAGCTTGGACCCTGTGCAGGAGGTGTGGGTGCTGCAGGCATGCAGAGGTTATGGGGTTCCACATGCTATTCCCCTTACTTCTCTTTTCTTTCTCTTAATGGATATTTCATTCATCTTTATCATGCATGATTATTTTTTAAAATTTGTGTGTGTGTGTGTATGTACCATCAAATTGGATCTGACTGGTACAGGATGAGATTGCCCCTCCTTCTCCAGCAGAGCATCTGGTGGATTTGTATCATGAATGATTCTTGAGAAAGAAATCTAAACTATAGGAAAGAAGTATGCTGTCTTTGTTAGGTGTCACTCATAGCTGTGTCACTTTGTTAGCTGCGACTCGTAGCAACCCTATGAACGACAGGAGCCCCACCCAAGATCTCCTCCACACCCAAACCCATTATTGGAGTCACCGTGTCAATCCATGTCCTTGACGGTCTTCTTCTCTTTGCGGATCCTCTGTCCCAGCATGATGCCTGTAAGTCTTTCGTAATCTCATTTCCTCGAGATGGTAGTGTGTACCCACGAGTGGCTTCTCACTCACAGGACAGGGTAGAGCTTCCTAGGCTGTAGTGTTTATTGAAGCGGACCAGCAGGTCGTTTCCCCCAAGGAGCTGCTGGGTGAGTCAAACCACTGACCTTTAGGCTTATAGCAGAGTGCTTAACTATTGTGCCCTCAGAGCACCGTCCTAGATGCCACCATTCTTATATTTCTGACAGAGGTTCTCAGAGCTCCCATCCTGGTTCCTGCTGATTCCTCCCATTCTTCCGGCTACCTCCCAGCCTCCCAAGAGCTCTCCCTTTCTGCTTACACATTGTTTGACACCTCTCCCTTTCCCAAGGGTAGTCAAGCTCAATCGATAGATAGAAAACACCCCCAACCTGGGGTTTGTTCTGTTGGTGGCCTCACATCTTGATTCCACATAAGCTCAAGAACAAGCTGTAGTCCCAGCTTCTATTGGTTCTTTGTTGCCACAGATGGAGTCTGAATAGAAGGTTCTGTGTTTACTCAGGCCACTCATCAGTGTTTGTATTTACAGATGCCACCGACTTAGGGCCTGTGCGAAGTGGGGAGACCAGAAGATGAGCTCAGTTGCCTGAAAGAATCACTGGAACAGGGAGTTGTGCAAGGGCAGCTGGGCAGAGGGCAGAGGAAAGGAGCAAGTGTTGAGTTTTAGGGATATCTCCTCCTGTCCAGGGAGCTGAGACCTGCCCTCTCAAAGTCTGCACCCACTGAACATACCTGTCTTGGACGAAGTGTAGCCGGAAAGCTCCTTTGAAGCAATTTGATTGTGCAATTTGTCTCCCACACTTGGGCCTTGTTTTCAGCAGAACCAGACCCTGGAAAAGTCCATCATGCTTGGAAAGGTACGGCGGGGGTGGTCATTGAAAGAGAAATCTCTGAACCACACGGATTGACGCAGTGACTGCCACAGGGAGGGAGCTTAATTAAGCACAGCAGAGATTGTGAAGATGGCTCTGGATCAGGCAGGGTTTCTATGTTGAGTGGATCTGAGACAGGAAGCTGACTCAAGGGCACCCCCAACACCCACCTCCTGTCTCTACTTCGCTCACCAGCCCCCCCCCCCCATCTTGGTTGAAGATGTGTTAGCGCAAACACTTCTGGCTCCTCTCTCCACTCCTTTTGATAAAATTGGGGCCAGCCTGCCAGGTTAACCTGTGACAGGGGTCACCACTTGAAAATGTGGTAAATTTAGAGTTGAGCAGCGTTTGGTTATTTAATGCTACAGACATATCAAATTACCCCCAAAATAAAGGTCATCAAACAACCCATAGCTGATCCTCTGTTAGGTTTTCAGAGACTGTAAATTGCATGGGAGTTGATTGTCCATCTTTCTCCTTTGGAGCAGCTGGTGGATTTGAACTGCATACCTTTGCATTTGAGAGATGAACCATGAATAAGGATGACAGAAGAAGAACTGATGTCTTTGAGCTGTGGTGTTAGAGAAGAGCACTGAACATCCCGTGGACGACCAGGAGCACAAATGGATATGTCTTGGAGAGGGTGCAGCTTGGACTGCTCTTTGAAGGCAAGAATGAAGCTTTACCTCATGTACTTGGGCATTTTTCTAGGAGGGGCTATTCCTTAGATAAGGATATGATGCTGAGAAGGGTGGAGGGTCGGCGAAGGAGAGGAAGACCTTCAGCTGGTGGATTGACACGGTGACTGCAGCAGTGGGCTCTTGTGTGTCAGGAAGTGTGAGGATGGCACAGGACAGGACTGGTTTCCGATCTTTTGTTCGCAGGGTTGCTATGAGTCATACTCGACATCATTTAACAACAAAAACCTTTGCATTGGCAGCATAATTCTTTACCACTACAAATGAAAAGCCAAACCCACTGTTATGAGTTGATTTAATTCCTGGTGACCCTAGATTGGGTGGGTTTAAATCTTTACAGGAGGAAACGGCCTACTTTTCTCCTGGGAAAGAGCTAGTGGATTTGAACCACCAGTCTTTCAATTTGCAGTATAACACATAACACGCAGGGCCACCAGAGTTCTTTGGCTAGGGTTGGAGAGAGCTCAAATGAAAGCTTTTGTGGCAGCTGACCGCCATGATGAGTATTTTCTTGTGTAGCTCTCTCCAACACTGCATTCAGGCAAGCCCTGTGTAACTCAAATACCAGCCATTGACCCTGGAGGACAGAGTGGAACTGCCCTGTAGAGTCCCCAAACCTGTGAGTCTCCATGGAAGAAGATGGTCTCATTTTTCTTTGCTGGGTGGCTAGTGGGCTTGAACTGGCTTTTGGTTAGCAGCTAAATGCTTTAGCAACTGTGGCCCCAGGACTCCTGGTACTGTATGGCCAATAAGATAAATGAAAGTGATGATGTGTGCCTACAAAGACTAGATCACGATTGGTATTCTGGAATCTCTTGCTCTGGGGGGAACCAGCTGCCATGATGTAAGGACACTCAAGCAGTCCCTCTGATGGGAGCCCACTGATGACCATGGTCACCTGCTAGCGCCACCGCCAGCCGTGTGAGTAAAGGAAAGGATTCTCAGGGACGGCCACACCTTCAGAGGACTGCAGCCCTGGTCAACATCTCACTATCACCAAGTGAGAGATTCCTAAGCAGAAATGTAGACTTGTCGAAATTCAGAGTCAAACTCATTCCTTGAGAGTCAGAAGCCACCTTGTACTGACCCTGAGGCTGTTGGATCAGAACCACCAGAGAGACATTGCCTTTTGGCTAATAGGACAGCGTTCTAGGACTAGGCCACCATAGTTCCCTAACTCTCTACTGGAGTCTTTCTGACCCTCAGAATTTGTGAACATAATAAGTGATTTATCAAGTCGCTAAGTTTTGGAGTAATTTGTTATATTCAGCAATCAACAAATCAACAAATCAGGGCCAATTTTCTCCTTACTCTCTTTATTCACTTCATTCTCAGGATCCGTGTGCTGACAAGATGGCTGCCCTGTTCCCTTCACTTTTTTCAGATTTAAGCATTCCAAGAAAAGGATGCTTTTCCATGAGTTCTAACAAATACACTAGGATTCACTTTGATTGGGTTGGCCCTCTGGTCCCCTCTGACTCATGGTGTCCCTGTGTGTGTCAGATTGGAACTGTTTCAGATTGCTAGTGGTTTACTAGTAAGGAATTGCACTGCCAACATTAA